ATATGCATGAACTTGGACAGAGGGGACAGACTATTTAAGCTTATACTAAGGTCAGGTACTTGGGTTGCAACACCTATTGAAGGTGTCACAGAAACAGTGGAGGGGATGGCAAGCTCCCCCTCCTCCAAGACAGCCCCCACACCAACACCCAGGAGGCAGCTGGCATTAGCTTTCCTTGTACTTTGTTTGGTGTCTGAGGGGTGGCAGAGGAAAGCAATGGAAGTCGGTGGGTGAGCAGGAAAGCTTCATTAACTTCGGTAGGCTGCAATACTAAGTTACCTGTTCCCAAGCAAAGAGTGAGGCAATAGTTGTGACACATCTCCAGGTAAAAGACCAATACTAACATTTGCTATCTTTATTGGGAGCAACGTATGTCAGGGCTCATGTGTCGTTGTCATCATTGTAGGTAGCAATATTAGGGACAGTATATGTCTCCACTTTGGATCTAATAAAATTGCAAGAAAAAGCAGCAAGCCTAAGGATTGGAAGCATTTTAAAATTCAGCAAGAGAGGATAAAAAGATTGATTAAGATGGGAAAAATAAAATACAAGAATCAAATGTACATAGAAACTGACCGTAAAAGCTTCTATACATAGAAGAAAAGAAAAAGATAAGTCAAGACAAATACAGGTCCCTAATAGTCAGCAGCTGGTGAAATTATAATAGGAACAAAGGAATGGCAAAAGAATTGAACACATACTTTGGTTCTGTCTTCACAAAAGAAGGCACAAATAACCTCCCAGAAATGTTAGGGAGGTAAGGATATAGTGAGAGGGGAGAGTTGAAGGAACTCATTATCAGTAAAACAAAACACGCTGCTAGGCCAATTATTGGAATTAAAGGCTGACAAATCACCAAGACTTGATAGTCTGAATCCCAGTGCATTAAAGGAAGAGACCCTGGAAATATTGGATGTATTCGTGGTGATCTTCCAAAATCCTAGAGTCTGGTGCAGTTCCTACAAATTGGACTGTGACAAATGTAATCTCATTATTTAAAAAAGGACAGAAAAAATAGAATTACAGACCAGTTACTCTGATATCAGTAGTGGGGAAAATGCTGTTGTCTATTACAAAGAGATGTGAAAACAAAACATTTGGAAAACAATAAAAAGGATTGGACAAAGCAAGCATGGGTTTATGAAAGGTAAATCGTGCTTAGCAAATCTTTTGGAGTTTATTTTAAGAAAAGGATGCACTGACAATAGATAAAGAAAGTGTCCATGGATGTGACATATTTGGACTTTCAGAAGGCTCTTAATAAGATCCCTCATAAGAGGTTAGTGGCCATGTTAAAGTATATAGGATACAGAGTAATATATTAGCATAGATTGAGAATTGGTTGACAGACAGGAAACAGAGAGTGGGAATAAATGGGTCTTTTACCAAGAGGCAGATGATGACTAGTGGAGTATCAAAAGGATCAGTGCTTGGGCCCTAGCTTTTCATGCTACATATAAGTCACCTGGATAAGGGAATCAAATGCAACATTTCCAAGCATGCTAATTACCCAAAACTAGTAGGGATTAAGAGTTGTTGAGGAAGATACAAGGAGGCTTTAGGTGATTTAAACAAATTGAGTTAGTGGGCAAACACATGACAGATGCAGGACATCGTGGATAAATGTGAAACTATGCACTTCACTGTGAAACAGAAAGGTAGCATATTAACTAAATGGTTATATCAGGAAATGAGGATTATTTTTTCTTTATTCATTCACGGGATGAGGGTGTTGCTGGCTAGGCAGCATTTATTGCCCATCCCTAATTGCCTAGAGGGCAGTTAAGAGTCAACCACATTGCTCTGGGTCTGGAATCACATGTAGGCCAAACTAGGTAAAGATTGCAGATTTCCTTCCCTAAAGGACATTAGTGAACCAGATGGGTTTTTCCCCAACAATCAGCAATGAAGTCACGGTCATCATTAGATTCCTAATTCCAGGGATATTTACTGAATTCAAATTCCACCATCTGCCATGGCAGGATTCGAACCTGGGTCCCCAGAACGTTATCTGGGTCGCTGGATTAACAGTCCAGCGATAATACCACTAGGCCATCACCTCTCTGATGCATGATGGAATCTGGGTATCCTTGTATACCAGTCAATGAAAAAAGACAGGAAGATGCAGCAAGCAATTAGGAAGGCAAATAGCACATCTTTATTGCAAGAAACTTGGGAGTTCAGAAATAAGGATGGCTTACTGCAGTCATACAGAGTTTTGGTGAGACCACACCTAAAACTGCTGCTTAGAGTTTTGATCTTCCTACCCAAGAAAGGATATACTTGCCATAGAGCGAAAGAGAGCAGTAGAGGTTAACTGAGCTGGTACAGGGTTGGCAGAATTGTCGTATGAGGAGAGTTTGTTTCAACTAGGCCTGAATTCACTTTAGCTGAGAAGGATGAGAGGAGATCCAATTGAAACATATAAAATTCTAACAGGAGTAGACTGACTAGATACAGTGACAATGCTTTTGCTGGAGAATCTAGAACCAGGGGTCAGTCTCACAATACAGAGTAGGCCATGTAGTACTAAGATTAGGAAAAAATTCTTCATTCAAAGGTTAGTGTAGTGAACCAGTGGAATTCTCTACTGAAGAAGGTGGTGCAGATCAAGTCACTGAATATATTCAAGAAAGAGATAGATGAATTTTACATATTAAAGTCATCCATGGATATGGGGAGGAAGCAGGAATATGGCATTGAGATAAAGGATTAGCCACGATCATTTGGAAAGACTGAGCAGGTTCCAAGAGCCTAATGGCCTACTCCTGCTCCGAGTTTCCAAGTACAGAAGGGTGAATGTGTGACTATTGTGGGCAAGAAAGCAGAGAACCTTCACTGAGCTTTTTTATAAATCACTAAGGGACATTGGAAAGATTGACCAAGACTTGTACAAGTGTATGAAATAATAAAAATTTAATAGAATTTCATACTGGTCTGATGCATTATGTCCTAATCAATAATCGTTGATAGTTATGTACAAAATGTTAGTATTCTGTTTTATTGTCATGTTAATGTTGTCAACATTTCGGTTGCATTAATTTTTAAATGTTAAAACGGGGTTACATTGGAAAACACGCTGGAAAGCAGTGTACTATTACTACTGGTCTTCTTCTGAGGCTGAACAATGAGGAAGAGTGGATTAATTTTTGATGATTAAATTCAAAATATGGCAAGTGATTTGACATAGCACAAATCTCATGACTGTCTAAATTTCCTGTGTGGAAATAGTTGTGCCCAAGGACTAACTGGAATTTTACACAAGAAAACCAAGAATTAGGAAGTTTGAGAGATTGAGTATTTTAGTGATAATAAATCATAGAAGAATCCTGGAGACATACACTAAAGAAGATTATGTATTTCTTCTACACTACATTGGTACTGATAGGCTAAACAAACTTCATGGAAAAAAAAATGTTTAATATGGTCACCTGCCAATACTCTTGATCAAGCCTTTTTGTCTTTCCGTCTCTTGCTCCACTTGTGCTAATCTTTCTGTCCTCTTCAGTTTATCCCAGAACTGCTGGGCTCTGAGACACTGTTCCAACCTCTCCTGTTCTTCCTGATGTTTAACCAGCATTAATGCTGCAATCTTCCGATCACGTTCAGGAATGATCACATTGGTTTCTCTTCGGATCTCACTAACGAGTTTGTCCAGTTTCTTTGCTGTGGCAGGGGACTGCCTTAGATCACCGAGACTGGTGTTCTTCCGAAAATATCCACTCAGGCTGGTGTCCTGTGAATTCTTCGTCTTCTGCTGTCCAGACGTGTCCATTGGCCTTTTACTTTCTTCTGAAATGGCCCCCAAAGATGACGACATGTTCTTGCCATCTGATAGAGGAGCTCTTGAAGAGCTTTGGTCTTCATGGACAGTATCCAGAACATGACTGTTGGGAAAACCAGATTCATTTGTAGATTGCGGAGCAGAAAATTTCACAAAAGTCGGTATGGGTGTTCTTCTGGCCTTTTCTTCCTCTATGATGCGCTGTCTCTCTTCTCTGCACTCTGTAAATTTAACAGTAAAATTATCAAATTACCCAAAAGTAGTCTGCAGTCTCCTACTTAATTTGAAATGAATGAACCCTAAAATCATGCATTGAGTTTCCAGATCAAAACGACTCTTTGTTCCATTCTTTGGAAAACATCTCTCCCCCAGGATTAGTAAGGTAAAAGTGAAAAAAAAACGCACACCTATTTAAGCACCTTTCATCATATTAAGGCTTGGATAACTTCCTTACAGTGAATGAAGTACTTTTAAAGTGTAGTCCCTATTATACCATAGATATATGTGTTGCAGGAAGTTTACGTATAGCAAAGTCACATAAACAGTAACAAGGTAAATAACTAGATCATCCGTTTTTAATAATATTAGTTGATGCTTAAATGTTAGAACAGCAGGGAGAATTCTGAGCCCTTCTTTGAGCAGTGTTTTGGGATTCTTTTTTAAAAGATTATTAGAAGACAAATGGGATTTGGATTACATCTCATCAGAAAGACAGCACCATATACAATCCTGCACTTGACTACAGAACTGCACTAAAGTGTTAGCCTAGATTATGTATTCAAATCTTCAGAGCAGGACTTGAACTCTCAACCTTCTGATTCCGAGGATATCAGCTAAGCCAAGACTGACACTTCAAAAGTTAAAGACTAAGCAGAAAAACATTTCTTATTTAAAGTTGACTCAACTACCCAGAGAATACCTACGCATGAACTTTAAGATTTAAAAAAAAATTGGCTTGGCCAGTTGTAGCGGAGCCTTTTTAAAAGCACAAAACTTGCCAAGCAAAAATTGATGGATCCAGCTGTCTCAATAATTGCAACAAGCAATCACAAGGTGAGAGGATAGAGGAGAAGTTGGGGGGAGGATGAATGTAATAATGTGGAAATAGTTTGCAGGTTAAGGTGGTGACAAGAAACTATAGATTCTATATAACGAGTGAATAAAGATGAAAAACAAAAAAATAGACTTCATTTATGTTGTATATTATATTTTCATGTCTCCAAAATGAAATAAGTTTGGAAGTGGCATTTCATTTACAATGGGAGGAGGAAAGTTGTGAATATAAATTGCGTTTAAGAAATGAGAAATTGACACGTAAAGAGTCGTAGAGTCATACAACGCAGAAACAGATCCTTCGGTCCAGCCACTCCACGCTGACCATAACCCAAACTAAACTAGCCCCACTTGCCTGCACGTGGCCCGTATGCCTCCTAACATTTCTTATTCATGTACGTATCCAAATGCCTTTTAAATGCTGTAACTGTGCCTGCATCCACCACTTTCACTGGAAGTTCATTCCACACACAAACCACTCTCTGTGTAATAAAGTTGCACCTCATATCCTTTTGAAATTTTTCTCCACTCACCTTAAAAATATGCATCCTAGTCTTGAAATTCTCCACCCTATGCAAAAGACACCTGCCATTCACCTCATCTACACCCCTCATGATTTTATAAACCTCGACAAAAGGTCACCACTCAACCTCCTATGCTCCAGTGAAAGAAGTCCCAGCTGATCCAGCCTTCTCTTACAACTCAAACTCTCCATTCCTAGCAACATTCTGGTTAATCTTTTGTGAATCCTCTCCAGCTTAAAAAAACTCCTTCCTATAACAGGGCAATCAGAACTGGGCACAGTACTCCAGAAGAGGCCTCACCAATATCTTGTACAACCTCAACATGACATCCCAACTCCTACACTCAAAGCTCTGAGCAATGAAGGAAATTGTGCTAAACACCTTCTTAACCTCCCCGTCTATACGTGATGCAAACTTCAAAGAATTATGTGCCTGAACCCCTCAGTCTCTGTTCGACAACACTACCCAAGGCCCTACCATTAATTTTATAAGTCTTGTGCTTGTTCGTTTTACCAAAATGCAGTACCTCACATTTATCCAAATTAAACTCCATTTGCCACTCCTCAGACCATTGACCCAATTGATCAAGACCTCTTTATAATCTTAGATAACCTTCTTCACTGTCCACTATACTACCAATTTTGGCATCATCTGCAAACTTACTGACCATACATTCTGTATTCTCATCTGTCATTTATATAAATGACAGACAACAGTGAACCCAGCAAGAATTTCTGTGGAACACCGCTGGTCACAGGCTTCCAGTCTGAAAAATCAACCCTCCATCACCATTCTGACTCCTGCCATTAAAGCCAATTTTGTTTCCAATTTGCAAGGTTACCCTGAATCCCATGTGATCTAATTTTACTAATTAGTCTAACTTTACTAATAGTCATGAAGCAGTCTGGACATTTTCTGGATCAAAAAGGGCTCACTATATGATTTTATCAAGGAATGAATTCAACATCTTAATGTAAGCTGTTGGCCATCATTTTACGTGAAAAAAATGACTTTGGTGAAAAGAAAAGCTTTTATGGTGTTAAAAGATGGGGTTTATGGCTCGTAATTATTGGAAAAACCAGTTTTGAAAAGACCAAGGGGCCTCCATCCCAAACGTTGTTTAGCAACTGTGTCTGAATTCAGCTTTCTGTTTTACAGACCCAAGTATTCAATTAGGAAGATACTCCAGGAGCTGCAAGTCTCAGATGTTCTTTGGAAGACAATAAGCCAATCAAGTTTCCAAACAACAGTATTTCTGACTACTTCATAAAACCTGAAAAGCTGGACTGTAACCAAAGACTCTGGTTCAGGTTGATTGCAAGCAGAACTGAAGTTCGTAGATCAGTCAATGGCTGTCACTCAGTAATTCAATATTGCCAAAAAGGAATCCCAATGCCCCATGAGAAATCATCACAGCCCATCCTTTTATTGTTCAGACCCTTGGGACATGTTCCCCACTTTTACTTTTTTTTCTTTAAGATGTCATCTCTGCACAGACCATTGAACCTTTGTGTAATGTGATTGAGCCTGTGTTTGGGTTAATAATAAAGGTCTTATTCTAGATCACAGCTTAAATATTGAGCAGTGTTTGTTTTAAGAATAAAGGTTTTGTTTATAATAAATATTATTTTGAGTTAATTAATTAAGTTTGTTGAGCATCTCTTTTGTCAGGATAATAATCTTGGAACCTGGAATATTAAAAACCCTCAGACAACAGTAAAACAACTGCCCAGAATGAAGAACAATCCTTGGTGCCCACGAACTCAGGCACTTCAACACTGATATCGCTGCCCTGCAGGAGACTCGAGCAGGTGAAGGGCAGCCAAGGGAAAAAGGTAGTGGCTACACTTTCTTCTGAACAAGAAAACCCAAAGATCAATCTAGGTCATATGGAACTGGATTCACTATTAAGAACAATTCATCAACTGATTCACAGAGCTCCTTGCTGGCAATGATGGCCTCATGACTCTCTATCTACAACTTGCTATGTTGTACTCCAACCCTCAATGCCATAGATGAGTCCAAAGAATGCTTCTACTCCACCCTAGACACCATACTGACCAACAGCCCTAAGGAAGATAAAATTATCCTCCTTGGAGACCTCCATGCCAGATTTGCAAAGGATGCCCAACTCTGGGAAAAAGGAATCATCAGAAAGGAAGGAGTCAGGAATTGCAACACCAGTTGGATTCTCCTGCTCACGAGATGTGGAGAACACCAGCTGGTCATCACCAACACTGTACCGCCAAAAAGACAAAGTTCAAGACTTCTTGGAGGCACCAATGATTAAAGCACTGGCACATTATCAACAATATCATTCGATCCCGAGACGTAAAGGATGTCCTCATTACCAGTGCAGTCAACAACTGGACAGACCACCAGCGAAATCAGTCTTCAATAGCCAAATGCCACCAGAAGCAGCTGAAAACAAAGGAACAGTCAGAAGAAGTCTCAACGTTGAGTGGCTTCAAGAGCAAAGCAGATTAACAGACTTCCAACAATGTCTTCACCAAAATCTCCAAAGAGTTCATTTTAATGGAGAGGAGAGTGTTGAAGGCAACCATCTCATGCTGTGAAGAAACTATTGGTTACAAAACCAGAAAACACCAAGACTTGTTCAACAAGAATGACTGCATCTAAGACCTCACTGACTAAAAGAGGAAAGCCCCCTGTGCCTGACAAAACAACATCACCAGTGAGACAAAGAGGAGAACTCATTAAACAGCAAAAGCAAGATACAAAGAAGAACTAGGGAAATCAAGAACCAATGGTGGCCTGAGAAAACTAAGGAGTTTCAACACCAAACAAAAATGACACTGACCTTGCTTGTAGAACTTCAGTAGTGGATGACAATGTTGACTCTGCTCTCTTGGATATCCTTTGCAGAAGCATATCATAGAATTGGTCTCAGCCTCAAGAAGTCTCAAATCCTTTACCAACACGTCCCAGGTCAAGTTCCAGTCCATCCCTCCATTAAGATCAATGCAGAAATCCTCCCATACATGGAACATTTCCTTTACCTGGGAAGCTGTGTCTCATCTAAGGCTGACAATGAGGCAGAGATTTAACATTGCATCCACTCTGTGAGCGCTGCCTTACGACACCAAGGATAAGAGTCTTCTATGACCGTGACATCCGTGCTACCAAGATTTTTGTGTACAAGACAGTCATCCTTCCCACTCTTCTGAATAGTTCAGAAACTTGGAATATGTATATATGCTACTCAAGTCCCTTGGGAAGTACCATCAACTGTGTTTGAGAATTCTCTGCATTAGCTAAGAGAACAGCCACAGTGACATCGGTGTCCTTGAAGCAGCTAACAGCATCAGCATCAATGCCATAATCATCCACAACCAATTCCACAGGGCTAGCAACATGCTTAGATGCCTGAATTCCGACTACCAAAGAAAATCTTCACCCAGGTCAAGGAAGGTACTCAGGAGGAAGACAAATGAAGCATTTCAAAGACTCCCTGAAGACTTCCCTCAAGAAATGCAACATTGATACCAACTACTTGGGAGACCCTCGTTCAGAAGAAACTGACTGGAAGAAACTTCTGTATTAAGAGACACAATTCATGTCCACTTCATCTAGAAGGACAAGGGCAGCAGACATATGGGAACACCACCACCTTCAAGTTCCCCTCCAAGACACTCACGCTCCTGACTTGGAAATATCTCGTCGGTCCTTTACTGTCGCTGGAATTCTCTCCCTAATGGTATTGTGGGTCAACCCACAGCAGGTGGACTGCAACAGTTCAAGAAGGCAGCTCATCACCACCTTCTCAAGGGCAACTAGGGATGGGCAAGAAATGCTGGCTAGCCAGCGATGCCCACATCCCACAAACGAATAGAAACGAAAATTCTTTTGAGAACACCTAGCAGCAGGAGGAAGTGTGGAAAAGAAACTGGAGAAAGGAATGCCAACAATCTCAAGGCTAAGAACCAATTCCAACTCCCAGAAACACCTGATGGCATCAGGCTCATCAGCCACATAAGGACCCACAGAACCCCATGACCACTGACACAATTTCCTACATGGACAATCATACTCATTAGCAACAAATTGCTGACAAATACAAAAAAAATCAAATGTCTATTTTGGTCACTGAACGAACATATTTATACTAATGGTGCAACAGGTGGAACAGTGGGTTTTCTGTGCGTTCCTTTTGTCTTCAGTCATAACAGTGGGAAAGGCATCAAATCTTTATTATCCAAATAATTTATGCACTAGAATTCTGAAGGAAGTTGAGGACATTGTGGCAATCCTCCTCTCTAGTTAGTGAATTGGACATTCTACTTTTTTTTTGAGTATTGCTATTTTGTGCACTAATAACATTGTTGCACGCTTTGATTATCGAATTCTGCAATCAAGTGGGGCAACATGTGTGTTCCCATTCTTTGTGAAGGTTTTTTTCTCCGTCAATTAATGGCTGATTCCATTCAGTGCACTCAGTAGTTTGATGGGCCCCATATTTAAAGATTGCACTACAGATGTTACACAATCTGATATAACTGAATGTGGCTGTTATTTCTTCTTAGGGTTCTGAACTCATCCAACACGTAGGTCACCAGACGGCTATCCTGCACTTCATCGATCCATAAACTTCAATCCTTTTCATCTGATGAAGTGTTTGTCATGGACGTGCATAAACACTTATGCAAAGAACTTGCTCTACAGCATGATTTTATCCCCCTCTCCCTTCTTCCCTTATCTCGACCCCTTTACACCCATCCTGCCCCTCACCTCCCCGTCCCCACACTTGCCCTCCCCACCATGTCCCACACACATCCCCTGCCCTGCCCTCCCCACCCCAAACTCACCAACATCCACAGCACCCACCCCATTCCCCAAACCCTCCTGCCCCTCGGCCCCCTCTGACTCACCCTACCCCCTTGCAACCCCATCACCACTCTGCCCCTCACCCCCCACCATCCCCAACCCATTCTGCAGCCCCCTTGAGCACCCACCCCCCCACCAGCTGTCACATCACCCCATGACCCCTTGCACCCCTACCCACCCTCCAAACACCTCTTCATACCCCCCACCTAACACCCCATCCTCCCAATCCACCCCCTCCCCAAACCTCAATACCACTGACCCACCCCTAACCCCCTCAGCCCCTCTTGACCCCAGCCCCTGCCCCACT